CCCGGGGGCCGGGGGGGCCTCCCCCCCTCCCCCGGAGCCTCTGGCCCCCACCCCACCCCGGTCTCCGATACTTCTCCAGCCCCCCCCACCCTCCCTGCCCTGCGCTCACGGACCTGGAGAGGTGGCCAGGCAGCGCCCCTGGGCGTCACGAATCGGCTCCCCTGTGGTGACATCATAGCGGATCAAAGAGAAGGGGAAGACGTGCTGGGGAGGGGAGACCCAGGCGTGGGTCACTTCAGTTGCACGAGCCCCACTTCCCGCCAGCCTCTCACTGTCCCGAGGGCCCTCAGCTCCCTCTGCCCTTCACCTTGTAAAGCCAGGAGGCGCGCCCCACAGCACCCCGCTGGCCTGTGTAGTTGAAGGTGGCCACGTTGCCCTCTGTCAGTCCATACGTCTCCAGCACCCGCAGGGGCCCAAAGCGCTGCACGAAACGTTCCCAGGTGTCTGGGCGGAGCCCACTGCCCACTGCCAGCCGGACTTTGTGGCCACGTTCTGCCTTGCCCTGGGGTGAGTGGGAGAGGGGCTTCAACGCATGGAAACTCGCACCCACGGTGGAGTCCTGCTCCCCTTCCCCTTGAGAGGGTCTTGTCTTGCACGCCCTGAAGCTCCTGTGCCCGGATGACCCCCGGCCCTGGCCGGCTCGACCACAAGCTCCTCAGCCACACAGCCCTCCTGCCGGCTGCCTCTCCCTCCAACTCCCAGACCCTGTCTCGGTGTCACCCTTCGCTACCCTGCCCTGGGACCTCGTCAGTGGCTCTGCCCACAACCTGGGCCCACACACCGGGGGCTGGTTGACAAGGTACCGGCACAGCTCCCCAATGTACTGGAACACTGTCACTCCGTGCTGCTGGCAGTCCTCCCAGAACTGTCCAGCTGAGAACTTGGACTTCAGCACGACTGTGGCCCCTGCCAGAAGCGGGAAGTGGGGGGGTGGGGAAAGAAAGAGGTGAGGTTAACAGCAGAGGGGAGGGGGAGCGCCGACCTCATCCCAGAGACAAGCCTTCACTGCAGTGCAGCTTCCTGGGGAGGGCCTGCTGTGAGATTCAGACCTTCAACAGGCCACAGTGGCCCTCATCCCCGACCCTGTGCCTTTTTAAAAAAATTGCCATGGGGGGCCGGCAGGTGGCATGATGGATAAAGACGCTAGATTCCCACATGGCCAACCATGGTTTGAATTCAAGACCTGGGGCTTGCTTTCCCTTTCTCTCTCTCTGATCAAAATTAATAATAATAACAAATGGAATTTTAAAAATAGTCTTTAAAAAATTGGGGCTGGCAGGTGACGTGGTGGTTAAGGGCGCTGGACTCCCACATGGCCAACTGTGGTTCAAGTCCCGGGCCTGGCAGCTTGGTTTCTCACTTTCTCTCTCTCTTTCCACTCTGTCCCTCTCTGGTCAAATAAAATAAATAAATAAAGTTAAATAAAAATAATGCCTTAAAATAATAATTTGCCATAGGGCATGTGTGTTTACTGGAGAGAGACAGAGAAAGAGGAAGTGAGAGAGGGAAAGTGAGAAAGTACCCCTCAGGAGGGATGGCCCTGTGCCCCTCTCCATTCTCCTTTCAGGATTTTGGGCACACATGCACACACGCCCAGATGGGGTTTTTCAAGTCATCAGGTCCAGGACTTGAACTATACCAGTTGCACGAGCCCCACTTCCCGCCAGCCTCTCACTGTCCCGAGGGCCCTCAGCTCCCTCTGCCCTTCACCTTGTAAAGCCAGGAGGCGCGCCCCACAGCACCCCGCTGGCCTGTGTAGTTGAAGGTGGCCACGTTGCCCTCTGTCAGTCCATACGTCTCCAGCACCCGCAGGGGCCCAAAGCGCTGCACGAAACGTTCCCAGGTGTCTGGGCGGAGCCCACTGCCCACTGCCAGCCGGACTTTGTGGCCACGTTCTGCCTTGCCCTGGGGTGAGTGGGAGAGGGGCTTCAACGCATGGAAACTCGCACCCACGGTGGAGTCCTGCTCCCCTTCCCCTTGAGAGGGTCTTGTCTTGCACGCCCTGAAGCTCCTGTGCCCGGATGACCCCCGGCCCTGGCCGGCTCGACCACAAGCTCCTCAGCCACACAGCCCTCCTGCCAGCTGCCTCTCCCTCCAACTCCCAGACCCTGTCTCGGTGTCACCCTTCGCTACCCTGCCCTGGGACCTCGTCAGTGGCTCTGCCCACAACCTGGGCCCACACACCGGGGGCTGGTTGACAAGGTACCGGCACAGCTCCCCAATGTACTGGAACACTGTCACTCCGTGCTGCTGGCAGTCCTCCCAGAACTGTCCAGCTGAGAACTTGGACTTCAGCACGACTGTGGCCCCTGCCAGAAGCGGGAAGTGGGGGGGTGGGGAAAGAAAGAGGTGAGGTTAACAGCAGAGGGGAGGGGGAGCGCCGACCTCATCCCAGAGACAAGCCTTCACTGCAGTGCAGCTTCCTGGGGAGGGCCTGCTGTGAGATTCAGACCTTCAACAGGCCACAGTGGCCCTCATCCCCGACCCTGTGCCTTTTTAAAAAAATTGCCATGGGGGGCCGGCAGGTGGCATGATGGATAAAGACGCTAGATTCCCACATGGCCAACCATGGTTTGAATTCAAGACCTGGGGCTTGCTTTCCCTTTCTCTCTCTCTGATCAAAATTAATAATAATAACAAATGGAATTTTAAAAATAGTCTTTAAAAAATTGGGGCTGGCAGGTGACGTGGTGGTTAAGGGCGCTGGACTCCCACATGGCCAACTGTGGTTCAAGTCCCGGGCCTGGCAGCTTGGTTTCTCACTTTCTCTCTCTCTTTCCACTCTGTCCCTCTCTGGTCAAATAAAATAAATAAATAAAGTTAAATAAAAATAATGCCTTAAAATAATAATTTGCCATAGGGCATGTGTGTTTACTGGAGAGAGACAGAGAAAGAGGAAGTGAGAGAGGGAAAGTGAGAAAGTACCCCTCAGGAGGGATGGCCCTGTGACAATCCCCTCTCCATTCTCCTTTCAGGATTTTGGGCACACATGCACACACGCCCAGATGGGGTTTTTCAAGTCATCAGGTCCAGGACTTGAACTATACAGCTAACCATGTGGGATCCAGCTGCCTTAACCTCCACGCCACTGGATGCCCTCTACCTTTAAGATTTTCTTTCTTTTATGAGAGAGACACAGGTTATCTTGAGAGGGTCTTGTCTTGCAGGCCCTGAAGCTCCTGCAGCCTCCCAGCTGGCAAGATCCTGAGTGTGCACAGTATGTTCAGGTCGACCCGTGCTCCGAACCCCCACCTTCCTGTGCTCCAGCTTTGTGCAGCGGTGCCTTTCTGCCTGTGCCCCCGCGGCTGAGCTCTAAATGTCCTTCGCCTATGTCCCAGTCCCAAATAGTCCACTGTGCATACCCTCCCCCCAAGTCCCACTTTCCTCTCTGCCTCTTCCTGCACACTCAGCCCTCCCATCCCTTGGGCCCTAGAGTCTGGAATCCCATAAGCTGCACAGCCTCCCTAACTGCTCAGTCTGAGTGGGTGACCTCTGCCCACTACCTCAGGGGCTCCTGGTGGGCAGGACCTGCCTCCTCCTTCCTCTGGACTCTCCACACTGAAGGACTTGGGCAGTGCCATGCTAGGCCAGCACACCACAGGTACTTAGCAAATGCTTGCTGGAGGAATGCATGGGGTGGGGCGAGGTGAGAGAAACTGACCGATGCCCAAGCAGCCCACGATGCCCAGCAGGGAGCCGGACATGTGGTAGAGCGGGAGGGCGAGGTAGATCACATCCTCCTGCCGGACGCCGCACAGCTGATAGAACCCCTGGCACTGCAGGACCTTCAGGTGACTGATCCGAGCAGCCTTGGGGAGGCCTGTGGGGTGGTGCAGGGAGGGTCTGAGCTCCTAGCCCTGCCTCCGTCTGCCCCTGCAGGGTTTCCCATAGAGAGGCAGAGCAGGCCAGAAGCTGTCCTGGAAATGAGGGTAGTTGGGGGTGACAAGGGGAGAGAGGATGTGTCCTCTCGGGTTTGGAAGGAAGGCAGCCTGAGAGCTGAGACCTGTGTTCCCAGACCCTGCCTTCCTCGGCCTCGGTTCTGGCAGCTAAGCCTGGTGTCCAGGCCTCACCCGTGGTGCCAGAGGTGAAGATGTACAAGCATGTGTCCATCATGCTCTGGGGAGCAGAGAGGTACGCCGGCACTGGCTCATCCACTTCAGCCGAGGCCTCAGCCAGGACATCGCTGACTCCAGCAGGCTGGGTTCCGGGGCCTGCAGTCCATAGGTGGAGCCCCATAGCTCTCAGGGCCGGCAGGTCAGGCTGCAGGGACTCCAGGAAGTCTGGAAGGAGTGGGAAAACAGCTCTGCTGCTTGCCACTGCTCAGAGGCACTCCTCAGACCTCAGCCTAAGACCTGGGCTCCCCACCCCTGCACTGCTCTAGGGCTAAGGGGAAGAGCACGGATGTCCCACCCGCGGTCTGGGACCTGGAACCTGACTTCTTGGCAATCCTCGGGGAACCAAAACTTCAGCTCTAATTTTGCAAACCCAGAGACTCATATCTCCTCTCACTTCCGAGCCCCAGCGCTATAGGGCGGTCTCCCGGTGAGGCCCCGCGATGAGGCCAGCCCCCCAGACACGCCCCTGTCCGTGGCCGGCCCCGCCCCGGTGCTCCGGCCTTACCTGGAGCCAGCACCAGTGCGCGCGCGCCGCAGCTGCGCAGGCAGTGTAGCAAGGGGCCCCGGCGCAGGGCGGTGGGCACAAAGGCCGTGCGCAGGCCTGCCTTGGCCAGCCCGAACCAGAGCCACAGGAACTCGGGGCTGGCGGGCGGGAGCAGCGCCACGGTCGCCCCAGGTGTCAGAGGGGCCGCGGCTCCTTCACTTCTGGCCATTACGTCCGCGCCACACTCCGCAAGTGCCGTGCCGCTTCCAGCCACCGAGTCTCCCGTGCTCTTCGTCGCCTGCTCGCTTTCCCCGATGCTCTGTGTGTCTCTGCTGAGGTCGTTGCCACCGGGTCCCCAGTCCCAACCTCGCGCGCGCAAAAAGGCGCGCGCAGTCCGGTTACTCTCGCGCTCCGCCTCCGCGTAGCTAAAGCGCCGCGCTCCGTGAATGAGAAAGGTGTGCGCCGGGCGCTGCTGAGCCAGTTGTGCGAGGCGCCAGGCTAGGCTGCAGCCTCCCTGGGGCCTTTCTGGGTTG